TATTCACTTATCCAAGGGAAACCATCCATCTTTCATTCACTTTACACTAGAGACAGTCAGCTTGTCACCTAAAGTCCTGGGAAATGTCTATATAGAAAGCCTGCTGGCGTGTTTGCCTATTTCAGTAAGGTATATGGCAACAATGATCAGCTTTCATTGGCCTGACCTTGTAAAACCCACACCAGACTTTCCAGGAACAGGGAAACTTTGAGTTAATGCTAGAATATACTGGACACATGCAAAGAGGGGTATAGAGGGCTCTACCTGGGCATAGACCTCTAGGCACAGTCATGCAGGGGCTAGGGATTACAAGACCACTATCTAACCACAATTATAAGCACTTGCTGCCTTTCCAGAACTGGGCTCTGAAAAATGTAACTGCAAAAGGTGTGAAAACCACCTGTTCCAAAAATCTTGAATCACCTAAACAGAATTTTCTTTCTTAGAATATACATGTACTTCCCAGCATTCATTCCTATTTTGGCTAAGATTTTAAATACTAAATTTATGAGATGGAAGAGCTGTCCATTGATCTGTCTAGAAGATATCTAGGGAAAAGATGTCTTCCCAGAATGTCTTATATGCTGTTGCTGGAGTTCATTTAGTGTTAGCTGGAATAAATATGAATAAAGGTAAAACAATTTACTGACACCACCAACTTTCCAGGAGCCCCAAAGAAGAACTTTTCGCGTCCTCTTTTTGCAATTTTTACAACCAAATGGGTGCCCTATGGCTCACCAACCCAATGGTCCATGTACATTTCTCTGTTGACTTTAAGCTCCTTAAAGTGTCCTTCACCTCTGTGGTCACATGTCCAAGCTCTTCTGTGATGGCACTGGGACTCTTAGAGCTCTGATTTCTCCTTTCCCAACTGTGTTGCACCAAAAGGAGAGCAGGAGACTAGAGGGAGATGAAACTTGTTCCCTTATTTTACCATCACTTGGTCTAGTCCAGAGGCACTTTCAAGCTCTAAGCTGCTGATACCTTACCCAGGCAGTATTCTCCTCTCGGAGTACTCTCCTCTTACCTTTCAGGTCCAGCATCAAGAGATACCTACTACAACATTTAGATTCTGAAAGCCCTTACCACGCCTTTAACCTGTTTCCCCTGCCAGAAGACCTCTGGCTAGTTCTCAGAATCACTTAGATCTGATACCCAAATTTCCCTCCTCCTTCACTGCTATTAAAATAACCAACTGGTAGAGGACTTGTTTCCTGGCAGGATCCTGGAGACATACAATCACCTTCCTCAGAAATCAGTTCTGTGCAAGCCCGGTTCATAGCTGATATGCTTCCTGTTCGTGAAAGGCCCTTCCTGCTTCACTATAGGAGCCCTTCTTCCCTCCCTCTGATTTATATTACAATGATGAAGAATCTTGACTAAAAGAAATCAGAGGAGGGAAGGTTTATTTCATATCACACTTCCTGGCAGCAATCCTTCACTGTGGGAAGTCAATGCAGAACCTTAAGGAAGAGACAAGGCATTAACCATGAAGGAATGTTGTTTACTAGCTTGTTCTCCAGCTCAAGTTCAGCTATTTTCCTGAATTATCCCAGGCCCACAACCACCAAGGGATGGTCCCACAAGCAGTAGGCTGGCATCCTACATGAGTCAGCAATCAAGAAAATGCCCCCCAGAGACAGATTACCCAACAGGCATCTGATGAAGCCAATTCTTCAACTGAGGTCTCCTCTTCTCAAATGTGTCAGGTTGACCACAAAACTAACCAGGACACCTTGAAAACTTGTAGACACACTAAGAAGCAACCTAAAAGATACTAACCTTTAAACAGAAGGTAACATAAGCTTCCTCCAATAGCTTTAGCCTGAGCCTGAGGCCAGGGCACAGACCACAATGATTGCACAGCCCTTACCTCCAGAGAATTCACAGTCTGCAAAGGTTCCTCAGCATCTCTCACACAGAGGGAAGCAACAGAAGAATTGTGAGCTTCAGTGCTGATGCCGTTTAACTGCAGCCTCACTAACCTCAGGAAAACGGGCTGTCCCTCAGCACTGCTAGCTTTGGTCTCTCCTGTTTATTAAGCCTTCTCCAAAAGCAAGAGGCTCACACTTGGCCTGAGACAGTATCAAGTGTGCTTAGTGTTTCAAGCTCTATGTCGATGATCATGACTTGTCATACCTTAACCAGTTTTATTGCAAGTCAAATGCCACATGCCTTAAAGTTGTATATGTAAATACACATATGTACAGATCTTTTTTTTTCTCTCAAAATTTAAGAAACTCCTGAATTTTCTTTTTATCTTTCTTCTTCCCATTCCATTTTTTGTTGGAGCACACATTTCCAAAGGGAATGGGTTTTCATTTGTTTGTGCCCAGTTCCAAACTAAATGTCCTTTACTCCTACACAAGAAGTGCCGGGCTTTTTTCTCCTTGCTTTTTAAACTGCATAAATAGATTTTAGTGATAATAGTGTATAGGAATAAAAAGCATAAGGACATTATAGTCTAGATAATATACTTTTTAGCAGAAAGAAATCCAAAGCTATTTTTATTTGATTTTATTCTCTTATTTCCCTTTCTGTAGATAAGAGACAGCTTGGTTTCCCAGGCAGCATGGCTTGGGCAGGAATAAGACTGAGATTAGCTCAAACCAGTCCCGACCTCTGAAGCCATCCCTGCCTGAGAAGGCTGGAAATGCACTTCAGGTGTTCCATGAGTGTTCCTACACATTAACCCTCAGAGTAGCAGGGCCAGAAGCCCCCTCCCCCAATGTTGCAGGGACGTTGGCCATTGGGCTCTGCAAAACAACAAGGTCTCTAGCTCAACTTTACTCCTGGAGGCTTGAAGGGATCAGATAAGAGCTGGCTATGTTTATTTTTCTTTTTATAATTTATTCATTTTATATCGCATTGTAGCCCCCTCCCTCTTTTCCTCCCGGTCCACCCTGCCTCCCTCTTCTCCCCTGCCTTTTTTCCCTAGTCCACTGAAAGGGGGATTTCTCCTCCCCTGCCATCTGACACTTGGTTATCAAGTCTCATCAGACTGCCTGGATATCTTCCTCTGTGGCCTGGCAAGGACACATCGCCAGGGAGAAGTGATCAAAGAGCAGGCAACGGAGTTCACTGATGTACCAACCAAGAACCATGCATGGAGAGGACCTATGCCCCCCTGCTCAGATGTAGCCAATAGGCACCTCAGTCTCCATGTTGGTTCCTGAGTAAGGGGAGCAGGGGCTGCCTCTGTCAAGAGCTGGCTATGTTAATATCAGTTCTCTCTGCAGATATGTCATCACCATAATTAGTCCCATTTATAGCTTTCCTACTACGGGAAAGGAACATAGCTCTGTACTTTGCATACATTAATCCCTAATGATCCCAGTAACCTTTGCAAATAAGCGTTAATGCTATTCTCCATTTATAATATCAGAAAAATTAAAGGTTGTAGACAGGGTATTTACAGTGTCAAGGACACCCAGTTGATAACTGACAATGACCATATTCAGGTCAGATATGTGGGGCTTGCAGCATTAAGCCTAACACTTGTCTGTTTAATGACTTAATCAGTGAACTTTGCTACTGAAGTACGTAAGTGCTGGAAACATAGACAGCAACAGTTAGCAGTGCTAACTTAACTTGACACTTTTGCTGATTCTTTTGAAAGAGACCTAATGGATAAAACAAAATCCCAGCATTCTTACACCCACTCACATTACATACAATCATCCAGACTGACATGTTTCTAGGCTGAGATAAAATGGTGCTCCTAGACATACAAGGAAAAAAAATCATTGCAAAAGTGCATAAGAAGATGGGGCTGGAGATTGTCCATTGGTTAAGAACAGCAGCTGCTCTTCTAGAAAACTCTGATTTGATTACTAGCACACACGTAGTGTCTCACAACCACCTGTATATCCAGTTCCAGGAGATCTGAGGCTCTTGTCTGGTCTTTGCAGGCACCAGCTGCATACATGGCTCAGGAACATGCGCATAGGCAAAACATCCATATACATAAAAGTCAAATAAAAGTATGTTTTTAAAAAGGTCTGAGAAAAAAATAACTAAATAAGCAGAGAAACATGTCCCTAACTAAACCATCTACATATAGATTTTAGTGAATGAATGAAATTCAATAATGAGTCTTACCAAAAAGACATATACTGTTGTAAAACACGCATGTACACAATCAGCATTTAAAGCTCACTTGGCACCTGAAACATAAGCAAATGTAGTCTTTGCTTATGTAGGAAACTAGGAAGCTGTAGGTCTCAGAACTGGAAGCCTTGCAGGAGTCCAAGAAAGTCACATATTACTTCCTATATATAAGACCTTTGCCCTTAAATTTTTTAAGTTATAATTATTTAGTGTGTGTGTGCACATGTGTGTGTGTGTGTTTGCATGTATGAGCACATGTATAGAAGTCAGAGGACAAATTTTAGTACTCAGTTCTCTCTCTGCATCATTTGGCTCCTGGGAATCAAACACAAATCATCCCTGAACTGTCATAAAGTTTATGACATTCCAGAAATTAACCTATACCAATTTTTTTTGGTTGGTTTGGTTTGGTTTTTAAAGACAGGTTTTCTCTTTTTAGCCCTGGTTTAGCCCTGGTTTGCTTAAAACCCTGAAGAGCAGTTGGACTCAATTTCAGAGACCTGCCTGCCTCTGTCTCTAGAGTGCCTGGATTAGAGTCGTGTGCCACCACTTATTTTTAACTTTAAGATATTTAGACTTGTCTGTTGCCTTTTTTTTTCCTTGAATGAAAAGACAAGTTTTCTGCTTATAAACTGGCTCCCATTTCTATACATGTCGTCTATGTTTCTCAAGGATAGTTGTTTTAAAATATTAAGATCAAGATACTGAATATGACATAGAAAAACTTTCTGTGTTACCCTTTACCCATCATATCAAAGCACAGTAGTTCACTGAAGTGGAAAGTACATCCCTATGTAAAGGGAGGTCTTAAGTCTGTACCAAAATGAAAATCAATTTATTTCCAACAACTGTGAATATAAATAATGACATTTCAGTGCTTTTGTCCCCAGCTTCACTCAGACATGGACAGAGGAGATGGATCCATCAAATACATTCTTTCAGGAGAAGGAGCAGGCATCGTGTTTACAATTGACGACACCACTGGAGACATTCATGCCATTCAGAGGCTTGACAGAGAGGAAAGAGCCCAATACACTTTGAGGGCTCAAGCCCTAGACAGGCGGACAGGCCGACCAATGGAGCCAGAGTCAGAGTTCATTATCAAAATCCAAGATATCAATGACAACGAGCCCAAGTTCCTGGATGGGCCTTATGTTGCCACTGTACCAGAAATGTCACCAGTAGGTAAGGTGGTGATGAGCTAATTTCTCACAAATAGTATATGCACTGTAGGAGATACTACTATGTACATGTTGAGGAGAAAATGTGCAGAAATCATAAAAATGAAACCAAATGACTACCAACTCCTTCAGCAGGTAGAAAGCTATGTAAATATCAGAAGCAGCCACATTAAGTAATAATAAATCTTCCAGTGTCTTCCAGTTCTGATTTCTTAAGAATAAATTATAAGATAGATGGCTGATAGATTGCATTAGATTAGAATAGATTAGATTAGATTATTTAGGGTAGATATTATCTGAAACCAATGAACAAAGTAGTCCACATAAAAAAGCAGTAAAAGCAGTGTTGCTTTTACTGGTTACTAAGAATTTAAACACAAATGACTATCATCCCCAGCGAGTAATAAGATAGGACTTATGGAGGCTTGATCTAGAAAGGAAACTCCCCAGAGAAGCAAGCACCAGCTGCAGTGTTTTAAGGCTGTCCATGCAGGCTTATACCAGCTCTTTTTAATTGTGCTTGACCAGGTTTTTTCCCCCACCTCTTCCTCAGGTACCTCTGTTATCCAAGTGACAGCCACAGATGCTGATGACCCAACCTATGGCAACAGTGCCCGGGTGGTCTACAGCATTCTCCAGGGCCAGCCGTATTTTTCTGTGGACTCCAGAACAGGTATATAGTACATAAGTCAAGTCGGAGGTGTTTGCTCGTTCAATAATCCTTGTATTTCCTACTTGAGACAGACTCTTCTTTTCAAGGACTCCCCAGGGAGTGTATTCCACAGAGGAGATTGTTGCAGTCTTTAGCATTAGGAGAGCACACTGTAGCTGCCAGGCAGTGAGACAGTGTGAGTGGGTTGCTGAACGACGCCAAAGCCTGTCAACAGAGAATGTCATCCCACTGCCTTCCAAAACTCACAGATATAATTATTTACCACAGTTTAAGGTCCTCTTTACCTCCAGGAAGACCAAAGAAAAGTGACACATTCACCTGGGTATGCTCTAAAGCTAGAATCACAGACTCTGAAGCCAGATAAGATGCTTCTTAGCAATCATTCCACCCATAAAGCATCAGGAGTCATTCAAGATGAGGAAACTGGAAAGTTGAATGGTAACCATGATCCTGTGGTTACCAGCATAGCCTTAATGTTTTCTCTGCTGAGCCAACCTCTGCTAAACAGGACCCAAGCCCAGAGTGAATGGCTGCTGGGCAGATGGGTTTTGATGAGACAGTCAATAGCACATGAATACAGCCCCTAAAAAGGCAGCACCTGGTCGGGGGTCACTATAACAAGGAAATATGGCAAAGAGAAATGAACTGATAGCAGCAGCATGCAGAAAAGGAGAGACCAGTAGAGCTTGGAGACTTCACTTGTTTCAAGCATCCTTTCACTACAGGATCTATATGTTTTAGTCCACCAATGGAATCCACTTTAGTGTCTGTATTGGGCATAATAACTACTGTATCATTACTGTCTTCCATTTGTGCCAGGATTTCTCCTTCACCAAGAACTTTTATAAGCATTAGCACTTTAGCCTCCCAAGTAAAGTGTATTGGAAGTATTATTACTCCCATGTTACACATTACAGGGAGAACAGACCTAAGAAAAGGAACTCAAGCAAAGAAACAACCACAGAGGTAAAATCAATAGTGAACAGTCAATGTGACTTCTTTATTGAAAGAAAAAAGAAATACATCTCTATTATTACTAACCTGATGTTTTCCCCTAGAAGTCTCCAAGGTAGCTAGACATTCAGAAGATGCTATCATAAATGTAGAAAGTAAAAGAGTGTAAATTAGTGGGAGGAAAGAAAAGATTACAGTTACAGTCATCTATAAAGTCTTTTGTGTCCCTCCCTGCTCAAGAAACTCAATAAAGCAAAAAAGTAAGCAGAAGAAAATAAAACAGTGAACACAAACAAAAAAATAAACCAAACAAACAAAAATTAAAAACAACCCAGTCGAGGTTCATTCCTACTTCCAGGCAGAGGGAAGACAGGGCAATCATACCAGGAGCCAGTAGCTAAATAGTCATTCACTCTATAAGGACTGTAGGGCTGAAGGCAGGAAAAAACTGAAAAAGCATTATCTAAAACCACAAATTTGTAGACACACAAAACTTTGTCTTCTGGACCCAAAGCCCAGGTATTCTTTGGTAAAGTCAGAACAATCTACAATCATCATAGACTGCAATTCCTGGAGTCATTAAGAAATCTGCTGCTGCCACCTGCTGTTCTTTCTCAGTAACATTGCCGAGGATGCCAGCCTCTGGGCCCTTCCTGCTGGGGGTGTCTATTTCGTGGCCTTTTATTTCATACAGTGTCTTTCTGAAGCTGTGGTTTTAACTTCATCTAATAAAAATGGGTGATATGCTCATTTCTATGTTAGGTATTTACAGCAGATGAGGAAGACAAATCCTTGGAAAACTAGCTTTGCGGTTTCATTTTTTAAAACAATTTCTATCCTGCAGGTGTAATCAGAACAGCACTCATGAACATGGACAGAGAAGCCAAAGAATACTACGAAGTGATTATTCAAGCCAAGGATATGGGAGGGCAGCTTGGAGGATTGGCTGGGACCACCACGGTCAACATCACCCTTTCAGACGTCAATGATAATCCACCCCGCTTTCCCCAGAGTAAGTAGCAATCAGTCTATTTCTCAGCTAGAGGGAGACACCCTTTGCTGGGATTTAGCTATAAGGTCAGTTTGTGTTCAGAGTGATTCTTCTGGCCTTCAGCTTCCCATGGCCCTTGGAGGGTTTTGTTTGCTTTTTGTTTGCTTGTTTTTACCAGATGGCCACACTCACACACCTGCACAAAATGAAATACTAAGAATAAGATTTATCACCAAGCAGCATTTCAAAACAGATACTAAGACTAAGTGGATATTAGCCATAGAATATAGGATAAACATACTAAAATCTATAGCCCTGAAGAAACTAAAGAACCAGGTTTTTACAAAGCTCAAAATACAGGCATCTGGACACTTGCAGATAAGTGATATGTCCCTCCATACATAGCAACTTCTCTAGAACATTGTACAACACGGTGAGGACTGGGACTTTAGTCTTGTTAATATCATTCTAGCACATGCACTTAGAGTAGCCTCTGCTTCAAATTTAGTAATAATAAAGAACTTAGGATGAAATGGAGTATGGAATATATTTCATAGAAGATGAAATGAAACCATATGAAATAATTTAAATTTATGTTTCTAAACATTCACATTGTTTCCACCAAAATAGAGTATCTTTGCACTTTTTAAAAATATTACTTTAACTCATCACCATTTATTTGTGAATGCTAAATTTGAATAACTCCATTATTCTTTAACCGTATCTTGGATTAAATGCTTCTGCTCTATTATTCTTCTAATTGCTTATTGTAGAGATTTCATTTAGTTTCTTTTTCACAAATATTACTATGACTAGCTGTGGATGTTGACAAAATGGCATACCACTCTTTTATATTGAGTGAGCTTAATCACCTTTAGCTGAAGCAGATACAAAAGAATATCATGATCTCAAGATTATTTTTAGTACAATGCATCATATGTAGAAATTATAACTGTTTAAACACATAGCATAGTTTTCCTTCTGTGGAGAAGATTATAGACAGATGCATGTTTTTCCTAAAGGAGAAAAAAGGTAACCCACTGATAAGTTTGCATGGCACAGTGGAGATTCTCAGGCTCGTATTTATAAGGAACAAGCGTTTTTCCTATGGAAGGTGGGGTACCTTCCTATGGATGGTCAGCCTTCCATAATCTTTGTCAGACATCAGCTCCTGTACTTTAGGATTCTTAGAGTTTACAATGCATGATGCATAGAAAGAGAGGCTACAGAGATGGTTCAACAGTGAAGAGTGCTTACTGCTCTTGTAGAAGACCGAGGTTCATTTCCCAACACCCACATCAAGCAGCTCACAACCCACAAAACCTATAACTCCAGTTCCAGGGGGTCTGATGTCTTCTGTCCTTTGCAGAAATCTGCATGCATGTGACGCACATAAATTCATGCAGTCATACAACCCATTACAAATTATGAATTAATTAATTAAAAATAAGAGACCACACTCGTATTACAATTTTGTTAGATTTTGTTATTTAATAAGCAAGCCTGTGATTGATAAAATAAGGATGTCAGAGATGAGCTCTGAAAGAGTAAGTTAGCAAATATACAATTTCACAGAGATGAAAGTAAACTAAAAAATAAAATTAAATATGAGTCAGAGCATCAACTCAAAAAGAAAGGCATTCCCAATGCCGAATGTTTATGTATGGAATCTAGTTTGGGCATATGGTTTTGGAACTAGAACAAAAAGGCCCCTACAGAGGCATCCAAAGGCCCTCAGCTACAGAAACATGTTGATAGACAATGCATGAAGCTCAAAGGGCTTTCTCTTAGACTGCTTTCCTCTTGCATTAATGACCTCCATCCACTCTGGGCCAGTGGCCAGAGACGGGACCTCAGCACACAGGCAATGATCTGAAGGGATATTAGAGCATTTCAAATTTGACAGAATAAATATGTTCTTTGTGATCACAGCCTTCCCTGGAAAAACACGACATTGGCACTTACTCCCATCCCTATGGCACAGTAAAGATGAGGAAGCAAGGGCTCCTCATCACTATGAAGGAAGAGTGGTTACAGTGAGAGTTCCACCTTATCTTCTCACCTGTGTTACTCTTGGGTTCAGAGCAAAGTATTTTGACTTTAAGTGAAATTTTAAACTATAAAACTTTAACTTACGAACCACAGACAACATTTGGCATGGCATGCCTGATTTAACTTGATAACATGGTGTATTTTTTAGTGGCAGATTATCACGAATGCATGTTCCTATTTTTCTTCACAGAACATTATCAGATGAGTGTGCTAGAATCTGCTCCAATTAGCTCTACTGTGGGGAGAGTGTTTGCCAAGGACTTGGATGAAGGAATCAATGCAGAGATGAAGTACACCATTGTGGATGGAGACGGTGCAGAGGCTTTTGATATTAATACAGACCCAAATTTCCAAGTTGGCATCATAACTGTGAAGAAGGTAACCTAATTTATCTATCTATCTATCTATCTATCTATCTATCTATCTATCTATCTATCTATTTATTTATTTTCCTTCTTTTTTTAATTAGTTGTTAACTTTTTTCTTTTTTAATTTTTTATTAATTACACTTTATTCATTTTGTATCCCCCCATAAGCCCCTCCCTCCTCCTCTCCCGATCCCACCCTCCCTCCCCTTTCTGCATGCATGCCACTCCCCAAGTCCACTGATAGGGGAGGTTCTCCTCTTCTTTCTGATCTTAGTCTATCAGTTCTCATCAAAAGTGGCTGCATTGTCCTCTACTGTGGCCTGATAAGGCTGCTCCCCCCTCAGGGGGAAGTGATCAATGAGCAGGCCAATCAGATTATGTCAGAGGCAGTCCCTCTTCCCATTACTATGTAACCCACTTGGTTACATAGTACATACATTGGTTACTATGTAACTGAACTGCCATGGGCTACACCTGTGCAGGGGTTCCAGGTCATCTCCACGAATAGTCCTTGGTTGGAGTATGAGTCTCTGGGAAGTTCCCTGTGTTCAAATTATCTTGTTCTGTTGCTCTCCTTGTGGAGTTCCCGTCCCCTCCAGCTCTTACTATTTCCCACTTCTTACATAGAATTCCATTCACTCTGTCCATCAGTTGGCCATCAGGCTCAGCATCTGCTTTGGCAGTCTATACTGCAGAAGCTTTCAGAGGCCCTCTGTGGCAGGTTTCAAGGTTGTTTCCTGTTTTCTTCTGGCTTTCAGAGGCCCTCTGTAGCAGGTTCCGAGGTTGTTTCCTATTTTCTTTTTCTTCTGATGTCCATCCTCTTTGCCTTTCAGGATGGGGATTGAACATTTTAGTTAGGGTCCTCTCTTTTGCTTAGTTTGTTTAGATGTACAGATTTTAGTGGGTTTATTCTATGTTGTATGTTTATATGAGTGAGTATATACCATGCGTGTCTTTTTGCTTCTGGGACAACTCACTCAGGATGATCCTTTCCAGGTCCCACCATTTACCTGCAAATTTCATGATTTCCTTATTTTTCATTGCTGAGTAATACTCCATTGTATAGATGTACCACAGTTTCTGCATCCATTCTTCAGTTGAGGGGCATCTGGGAGTTGTTAACTTTTTTATAAGTTATTCACTTTAATCCCATCATAGCCCCATCCCTCATCTCCTCTTGGTCCCACCTTCCCTACCTTTTTCCCCTTACACCCCTTCCCTAGTCTTCAGAAAGGAGGAGCCCTCCTTCCCCTACCATCTGACAAAAACCTATCGAGTCTAATCACCACTTCCTGTATCCTATTCCTGAGTGGTCTAGCAAGGCCACCCTGCCATGAGGAATTGATGAAAAAGCAGGCAACAGAGTCCATGTCAGAGACAACACCTGCTCCCCTTACTAGCAAACCCTCATGGAGACTGAGCTGCCTATGGGCTACATCTGTGCATGGGGTCTAGGTCCTCTCCATGCATGGTCCTTGGTGGGTGCATCAGTCTCGGCAGGCTCCCCTGGGCCCAGATTTGTTGGCTTTGTTGGTCTCCTTGTGGAGTTCCTGTCCCTTCAAGATACTTCCCCACACATACACATACACACACACTCTTCCTTAAGACTCCCTGCACTGTGCCCAAAGTATGGTTGTGAGTCTCAGCATCTGTTTCCATCCCATGCTGGATGGAGTCTTTCAGAGGACATTTATGGTTTGCTCTCACCCTGTTCCCTCTCTTCAACTGCTTCTGGTGTCTATTTTATTTGCCCTTCTGAATGAGAATTAAGCATCCTCCCTACGGTTCTCCTTGTATTTAGCTTTTTTAGGTCTATGGATTTTAGTATGGTTTTCCTGTGTCATATGGCTACTATCTACTTATAACTAAGTAGATATGCCATGCTTCTCTTTCTGGTTCTAGGTTACCTCACTCAGAATGATCTTTTCTAGTTCCCACCATTTGCCTGCAAATTTCATGATTTCCTTTTTTTTATAGCTGTGTAATATTTCATTGTGTAAATGTACCACAATTTCTTGATCCATTCTTGGTTGAGGGACATCTAGGTTGTTTCCAGATTCTGGCTATTATGAATAAAGCTGCTATGAATGTAGTTGAGCAAATGTCCTTGTTGTATGGTGGACCATCTTTCAGGTATATGCACAGGAATAGTAAAGCTGGATCTTGAGGTAGTGCTATTCCTAATTTTCCAAGAAAGTGTCAGATTGATTTCAAAAGTGGTTATACAAGTTTGTACTCTCACTATCAATGGAGGAGTGTTCCCCTTATTCCATGTCCTTTCTAGCATGTGCTTTCATTTGAGTTTTGATCTTAGCCATTCTGATGGGTATAAGATGGAATCTCAGAGTCGTTTTTCATTTGCATTTCACTGATGACTAAGGACATCACACATTTCCTTCAGTGTTTCTCCATTATCCAATATTCCTCTGTTGAGAATTTTCTGTTTAGCTCTGTACCCCGTTTGTTTTTTTTTAACATTTTATTTTATTTTATTTTCTTATCAGTTACATTTTATTAACTCTGTTACATTTATTAACTCAGTTACATTTTATTAACTCCCAGCCGTGTCCCGATCCCTCATTCCCTCCCAGTCCCTCCCTCCCTCCCTCATCTCCACCATGCCCCTTGCCAAGTCCACTAATAGGGGGGACTTCCTCCCCATTCATCTGTACCCCGTTTTTAATAGGATTATTTGGTTTGTTGGTGTTTAATTTTTTGAGTTCTTTATGTAGGTTGGATTTTAGCCTTCTGTCAGATGTAAGATTGGTGAAGAACCTTTTCCAGTCTGTAGGCTCCAGTTTTGTTCTGTTGACAGTGTACTTTGCTGTACAGAAGCTTTTCAGTTTCATGAGGTCCCATTTATTAATTGTTGATCTTAGAGTCTGTGCTGTTGGTGTTCTGTTCAGGAAGTTGTTTCCTGTGACAAAGAATTCAAGGCTTTTCACTTTTTCTTCTAATAGATTTGGTATGTCTGGTTTTATGTTGAGGTCTTTGATCCACTTGTACTTTCATTTTTTGTAAGGTGATAAATATGGATCTATTTGCATTTTTCTACATGTAGATATCTAGTTAGGCCAGTTTGTTCAAGATGCTATCTTTTTTCCATTGTATGATTTTGGATTCTTTGTCAAAAGTCAAGTGTCTGTAGGTATGAGAGTTTATCTCTGGGTCTTAGATTTTATTCAATTGATCCACCAGTCTGTTTCTATGCCAGTATCATGCAGTTTTTATTATTGTTGTTCTACAGTGCAGCTTGAGATCAGGGATGGTAATACCTCCCGAAGATCTTTTATTGTACAGTATTGTTTTAGGTATCCTTAGTTTTGTTTTGTTTTGTTTTGTTTTGTTTTGTTTTGCTTTTCCTATGAAGTTGAAATTGTGCAAGGTCTGTAAAAAATCGTGTTGGTATCTTGATGGGAATTGCATTGAGTCTGTAGATTGCTTTTAGTAACATGGCCATTTTTACTATGTTAATCTTTCCAATCCATTAGCATGGGAGATCTTTCTATCTTCTGATATCTTCTTCAATTTCTTTCTTCAGAGACTTGAGGTATTTTTTGGTAGAAGTCTTTCACTTCCTTGAATATAGTTACAAGCAAGATAATTTATGGGTTTTGCGGCTATTGTGAAGGGTATTAACTTCACTGAAGGTGTTTATCAGCTGTAGGAGCTCCTTGGTAGAATATTTGGGGTCACTCATGTACACTATCATATCATCTGTTAATAGTGATACTTTGACTTCTTCCTCCCCAAGTCATATCCTCTTGATCTCCTTTCGTTGTCTTATTGATGTAGCCAGGACTGTAAGCACTGGGACTTCAAGATATGGAGAGAGTGGGCAGCCCTGTCTTGTCTCTGATTTCAGTGGAATTGATTTAAGTTTCTTTCCGTTTAGTTTGATGTTGGCTATAGGTTGGCTCTACACTGCCTTTATTATGTTTTGGTATGTGCCTTGTATCCCTGATCTCTCTGAGATTTGAAACAAGAATGGATTTGGCAAATACTTTTTCAGCATCTGAGGAAATAATCGTGTGGGGTTTTCTTTCTTTCAGTGTGTTTTCATGGTAGATTAAATTGATGGATTTCTGAATATTGAACCACCCCTGTATGCCTGGAATGAATCCTACTTGGTCATGGTGGATAATATTTTTGATATGTTCTTTGATTTTGTTTGCAAATATTTTGTTGAGTATTTTTGCATCAATGTTCATAAGGGAAACAGGTCTGAAATTCTTTCTATGTTGAGTTGTTGTGTGGTTTTAGTATCAGGGTGACTGTGGCCTTATAGAATGAGTTTGGCAATGTTTCTTCTGTTTCTGTTTTGTGGAATAGTTTGACAAGTATTGGCATTAGCACTTCTTTGAATTCTGGAAGAATTCTGCACTGAAACCATCTGGCCCTGGGCTGCTTTTTTTTTTTTTTTTTTTTTTTTTTTTTTTTTTTTTTTTTTTTTTGTTAGGTGACTTTTGGTAACTGGTTCTTTTTTCTTTGGGATATAAAACTACTTAATCTGTTTTTCTGATCTTGATTCAACTTTGTTAAGTGGAAACTATCAAAATAATAGTCTATTTCATTTATATTTTCAAATTTTGTGGCATATAGACTTTTGGAATAAGACCTAATGATTCCTTGGATTTCCTCAGGTTATGTCCTCCTTTTCATTTCTGATTTTGCTGATTTTGATAATGTCTCTGTCCCATAAGTTTGGGTATGCTGTGCCTTAATTTTCATTGAATTCAAGAAAGTTTTCTCTTTCCAGAATTTCTTTGGTTTATGCTTTCTCTATTGTTTCCATTTTCATCTTCAGAATTTGGACTGTTTTTATTTATTTCCTTCATCTGATTGTTATAGTTTTTGTTATTGTTATAGTTTTGTTATTGTTATAGTTTTCCTGTATTTCTTTCAGTGTTTTATTTATTTCTTCTCTATAGGTCTCTTTAAATGCCTCAATCTATTTGAGTATATCTTCCTGTATTTCTTTGCAGATTTTTTTTTTATTTTCTCCAATAT